CCATTGCATTTTTTGGCAATTGTCGTGACACTTTTGAATAGACATGCACCAGGAAGAACCAGCATGTTGATAGAGTTTGACTTCTTTGAGAAACTTCTAATGGGCTAAAACTGAGTTGATGATCTTATTTATGTTGCAGAGAGGGTAAGAATTGTTTGATGATATCCACTCCTCTTGGACAATGAACACACTTTAAGAAGAAAAGTATTAGCCATTAAAATGTTTTTTTAAAGGCTCTTATTGGTAGTTCCCCATAGGCACTCACGGCATGATCATATGATCCTGTCTACAAAAAGCCACACCCAAAAAGCACCCAAAATAGGACCCAAATCTATGAATGTACTCACACTAAATAGCTACACATCAGATCAACCTCAAACTTTGTCTCACAACGAACCTCATAAAACACATTAAACATGGATGCATCAGCCAGGCAAGTCATTTCATGGAACATTGGGGGACCTCCATACCAAACAGAGCAGCAAATAGTAATTAGGGTCTTGACAAGCCTGATGGGGATAACCTAGCTTGCAATGTCACCTGAAGTATTGGATCGTCATGGCCACAGACCTGAATCACTTGTCATTCCGGAGTTATACCGCTGAACCACTTGTCGTTCCGGAGTTATATCCGCTTAGATAACCCAATGATCCCTGATTCATGGTTTCATATATGAGATAATCTGTGAACCGAGGTACAAATCACAGATAGATCAGCTCACCAACCAATTAATATAGGACCTTTTACATTTGTGTCCCTAACTCGAACCCACTACTCAGATTTGCCCCTAATTTCGAAGCATGCTCAAATTTGCCCCTCTGCCGCCAGTGGCACTTATAAAAATGCCCTTCCGTGCCATTACTGTCCAATCAAAGGGCGTTGACCGCTATCTGGACGTTTGTTGGACATTTTTCCCATGGAACAAATAAAACGGAAAAAGAAAAAGAAAAGAGAAAGGGCGCCCTCACCTTTTGGCCCAGGACGACCCAGCCAGCCCAGCCCACTGGCTGGTTGGCTTCTTCCTCTTTAGAGACCGAGGGTGTGTTGCCCGCCCGCTCACCCGAGCGCCGCCGTTCATGTGGCCAACGGCAATGAGAAGCCGCATTTCCATGTCTGCATGTCCCGCCATGAAACAGAGCGTCCTCACACCGGAGATCGTGACCTCGGGTGCCTTTCTACTCCGCGACCAATGCCATCTCCGCCGCATCTGCCCACCGTCCGCCGTCTTTGATTCGCCATTGTATGAGGTCCACCGGCGATCCCTTACCATCCTGTTGATACATCTGATGTTGCGGAGTCTTTTACACTTCAGCGATGAGCCCTTCTTTGTCTAGCCCCACCCCACGACGCCTCGCCCCGGTGGCCGTAGGCGAGGTACATGTGCTCGCCGTCTGCCCTCCCCAGACCCTTCGACCACTATGGCATGCTCGCAATGAGATGCTGATGCCAATACACCTCTATCCCCTGTCCCCCCTGCTTTCTAGCCCCCCTGCCACCTAGCTTCAACCGCTGTCGCCACTAGCCTCGGTCGTGCCCGACACTCCGGCCGTCCCCGCTCACCCTACCACTTCCATTCAACGCGGAGCAAGCCCAGGAGCACGTAGGACCATTCCATCGGTCATTTGGTCGCCGGAACAGAGCTCCCCTGCCCTCGTTCATGGCGTATGCTCGCAGGTGGTTAGATTTGGATTAATGGCTTCCTATGACATGTGGGGCCCATTAGTTGCACTAATCCCACCTAGTGTTAAATATTATGCTAGTTATTGAGACTAATCGTGGGCCCTATCAATTAGCAAAACTGCTAAATCAATTAAGAAAAATAACTTGACATGTACATGTGGGGCCCCACGTGTAAGTGAGAGAGGTTTTTTTCTGCAGCGGACCCACATGTAAGTGAGTGAGAGCCTGGATATGTTTTTTTTTCAGTGGGTCCCACCCGTGACACATATAGTCAGGGGCAAAATGTCCAACAAACGTCCAGATAACGGTCAACGCCCTTTAACTGGACGGTAACAGCACGGAAGGGCATTTTTGTAAGTGCAATTGACGGCAGAGTGGCAAATTTGAGCATGCTTCGAAATTAGGGGCAAATCTGAGTAGTGGGTTCCAGTGAGGGACACAAATGTAAAAGACCCATTAATATAACCTTCTTCTGGAAAATGCCATAAAAGAGTGTGTAGCCACAAAACATCATTTAGTTCTTTACCAAGAATGCAAACGTACAAAGTACAGTCTAAACAGAGAATAAAAGGTTCCCAGTAGAGCATATAGTCGAACTGGTGATGTTCCAGTCCTTCAGTTCTCTCTTTACAGTCTCCTCTCATGTCAAGTTTTGTCTACCCTGACCTCTCTTGACATTATCAACACGCTTTAGCTGTCCGCTATGCACTGGAGCTTCTGGAGGCTTGCGCTGAATATGCCCAAACCAGATGTTGGACAAGCTTCTCTTGAATCGGTGCTACCCCAACTCTATACATATATCATCATTCCGGACTCCACCCTTTCTTGTGTGGCCACATCCATCTCAACATGCGCATCTTCGCCACACCTAATTGTTGAACATGTCACCTTTTAGTCGGCCAACACTCAGGACCATACAACATTGCAGGTCGAATCGCCGTAGTATACAACCTGCCTTTTAGTTTTTGTGGCACTCTCTTGTTATAGAGAATGCCAGAAGCTTGCCGCCACTTCATCCATCCGGCTTTGATTCGATGGCTCACATCTTCGTCGATATCACCATCCTTATGCAGCATTGACCCCAAATATCGAAAGGTTTCCTTCTGAGGTACCACTTGCCCATCAAGCTAACCTCCACTTCGTGCCTAGTAGTACTGGAACTGCACCTCATGTACTCAGTTTTAGTTCTACTAAGCCTAAAACCTTTAGATTCCAAGGTTTGTCTCCGTAGCTCTAACTTCCTTTTAAGAACCCCTATCCGACTATCATCGACTAGCACCACATCATCCGCAAAGAGCATACACCATGGGATATCTCCTTGTGACCTCATCCATCACCAAAGCAAAAAGATAAGGGCTCAAAGCTGACCCTTGGTGCAGTCCTATTTTAATCGGGAAGTCATCGTTGTTGCC